ACATCACCAATCATCAGGGAAATGTAAATCAGAACCACAGTGAGCTGTCATCTCACTCCAGCTAGAATGGCTATTATCAAAAAGATTTAAAAAATGACAAATGCTGGCAAGAATGTGGAGAAAATGGAACTCTTATATACTGTTGGTGGGAATGAAAATTAGTACAGCCATTACGAAATACAGCATGAAGTTTCCACAAAAAACTGAAAATAGAACTACTCTACAATCCAGCAATTCCACCACTGGGTATTTATCCAAAGAAAAGGAAATCAGTATATCAAAGATATACCTGCCCCCTCCGCCATGTTTATTGCAGCACTATTCACAATAGCCAAGTTATAGAATCAACCTAAGTATTCATCAATCAATGAGTGGATAAAGAAAATGTGGTATATATACACAAGGGAATACTATTCAGCCACAAAAAAAGTATAAAATCCTATCACAGCAACATGGATGGAATTGGAGGCCATTATTTTAAGTGAGATAAGCTAGGCACAGAAAGACAAATATCGCATGTTCTCATTCACATATGGAAGCTAAAAAAGTTGCTCTCACAGAAATAGAGAGTAGAATGATGGTCATCAGGGGCTGGAAGGAAATAGTAGAAAGTGCTTGGTTAATGAGTGCAAACACAGTCAGATAGAATAAGTTCTAGTGTCCAGTATCACAGTAGGGTAACTGTAATTAACAACAATTTATGGTATATTTCAATATCTAGAAGGAGAATATTGAACGTTCCCAACACAATGAAATAATAAATGTTTGAGATGAACATGCTAATTATCATGATCTGAGCACTGCACATTATATATATTGAAACATCACTATGCACCCCATGAATATACATAATTATTGCTTGTCAATATAAAAAGAAAATTTAAAACAAAACAAGTATTTTTAAAAAGCTAGAAGAGAAGATTTTAAATGTTCCCAACACAAAGAAATGGTGAATGTTTGAGGTGATGGATATGCTAATTACCCCGATTTGATGATTACATCATATGTATTTTATGTATCAAAGTATCACAACTACCCCATAAATACGTACAATTATTATGTATCGATTTGGATTGCTTCAGGCCAGGAGTTCAAGACCAGCCTGGGCAATAAAGTGAGACCCTGTCTCTACAAAAAAATCAAAACCTTAGCCAAGCATGATGGTGCACACCTGTATGTGGTCCTAGCTACATGGGAGGCTGAAGCAGGAGGATCACCTGAACCCAGGAAGTTGAGGCTGCAGTGAGCCATGTTTGCACCACTGCACTCCAACCTAGTCAACAGAGTGAGACCCTGTCTCAAAAAAAAAAAAAAAATTGCCCTAGCATGGCAGTGTGGGCCTATATAGCAAAGGGATTACTTGATCCCAGGAGATCAAGGCTGTAATAAGCTATGATCACAGCACTGTACTCCAGCCTGGGTGAAAGAGTGATACCCTGTGTTTCTTTTTTTTTTTTTTTGAGACAGAGTTTCACTTTGTCATCCAGGCTGGAGTACAACCACTCGATCTCGGCTCAGTCCAACCTCCACCTCCTGAGTTCAAGCGATTCTCCTGCCTCAGCCTCCTGAATAGCTGGGACTACAGGCGCATGCCACCACACCCGGCTAATTTTTTTTTTTTTTTAAGTAAAGTTGGGGTTTCACTGTGTTAGCCAGGATCTTCTCGATCTCCTGACCTCGTGATCCGCCTGCCTTGGCCTCCCAAAGTGCTGGGATTAAAGGCATGATCCACTGGGCCCGGCTACCCTATGTCTTAAAAAAAGAAAAAGTTCTACAAATGTAAGATCTTTGTACTACATGAAACACTTATGCTACAACTAACCTAGTGTCCAGATACCAAATGAGTCTTCTGAGAGCCAAAGCCACTGGCGGGTCATAGGTGGACATGTGGGAAATAGAAAAGGATGGGGACTGTGTGGAGGAGGCAAGAATTACATTGTATTTCTTTTAAAAAATATTTCCCTGTTAAAAAATTATGCAAATACTACCTGCTCATTTTAGAAAACCCAGAAAATACAAACAGGGCAATAATAAGACTTTTTAAAAAATATCTGGCCGGACACTGTGGCTCATGCCTGTAATCTCAGCACTTTGGGAGGTCAAGGTGGGTGGATCACCTGAGGTCAGGAGTTCAAGACAAGCCTGGCCAACGTGGTGAAAACCCATCTCTACTGAAAATACAAAAAAATCAGCTGGGCATGGTGGTGGGCTCCTGTAATCACAGCTACTCAGGAGGCTGAGGCAGGAGAATTGCTTGAACCCAGAAGGTGGAGGTTGCAATGAGCTGAGATCATGCCATTGCACTTCAGCCTGGGCAACAAGAATAAAACTGCATCTGAAAAAAATATATACATATATATAATATGCATTATGTAATACATAAATTATATTTTATATATATATATATATATATATATATATATATATATTATATATCTCCTTTAATTCTGCCTAGAGGCAAACACAGGAGACTTTTTGGTATATACACTTTCTTTGTTTTTTTTTTTTGTTCCATTTTTACAAATGTGAAAGGTTCGTGAGTTTTTCTCTGTGTTGTGCATTTTTCCAAAGTGTGATAATGCTATTTATGCTACTTTGTAACCTGCCTTTTGACTTCATAGTGCCTAGTGAACACCTTTCTTTCTCTATGAATAACCAGTATCAAAGGATGGTTTTCAAGTTAAAATTTTGACCTTCATATACACACAGGGTGAGCATATATGTGTTCTTTAATGAAGGAACCAGGAGGATGGTAAAACTGGTTCAACAGAGAAACAGAAACTTATATAGTCAGTGAGGAAAAATGCTTTTAGATGGGATCTCTAGGTTAGATATGAAACTGGTTAATATTCTACAGGCAACGAAATTCTATCCTTGGGGTTATCTTTTTCTGCTGGACAGAAATAATTTGCATCTCAACTGGACAAAATCAAAGTCATTTGCAATTTATTAATATACAAATTCACATCTAATTTCATAGAGCCTAGGCCCCTAATAGTCAGTCAAACAAAAGCATATATTTCTCTAGAGCAATGATTCTCAACCAAAGGTAATTTTGCCTTCAAGGACATTTGGCAATGGCCAAAGACATGTTTGGTGGTCACTGTTGGGGAGTGTTAGTGACATCTGGTGGGTAGAGGCCAGGGGTGCTGTTAAACATCATACAATACATGGAACAGCCTCCATAACAAAGAATTATCCAGCCCAGACTGGCAACCTCCACAACAGAGAATTATCCAGCCTACACTGTCAGTGGTGCCCACCTCTACCTATTAGATGCCAGTAGCACCCCCACAGTTGTGACAACCAAAATGTCTCCAGACATTTTCAAATGTCCCACCGGGAGGCAAAATTGTTCCCAGGTCAGAGCACTGCTTTAGAGTTGCACTTTACAAATCCATCACCAAAAGTCATGTGTAGCTATTTATTTTTATTTTTTATTTTATTTTTAGTTATTTAGTTTTTAATGTCATAATGTTAATGAACACCAGGGGTTCAGCCTAGGTCCTGTTGCTCGACATGCAGAAAGCCAATCACTGAGACAACAAGTATTGCAGGGAAGAAGGCTTTCTTCAGGTGACATCAGTGGGAGAGACGGGAAATAAACCTCAAATCCATTCCTCCTCCCTGACTAAAGTTAGGTGTTTACACATCAGGGGAAGATAACAGGAGGAGCACGGAAGAGGAATTGGTCAACAGGCAGTAGGGGCATCCCACAGAATAAATGTACATTTCTCAAGCTTCAGTTCTATGGACATCTGGCTTGTTGGAAAATTGGGCAGGTAACAACAAAAAAAAGTTTTTAATTAACTAAAATTGAAGATTAGTTCCTCACAGTAACCTTATTTCAAGAATTCAATAGCCAATTGTGGGCCAAGCACAGTGGCTCACACCTATAATCCCAGCACTTTCGGCAGTCAGGTCAGGAGGATTTCATGAGGGCAAAAGTTTAAGACCAGCTTGGGCAACAGAGTGAGAAACCCCATTTTTACAAGAAAATGAAAATAGAAAAATAAAACAACAACAGCAAAATAGCCATGTTGGGCTAGGAGTTACTCTACTGGTGAAGGGAGGCAGAGAACATTTTCCTTTCTTTGAAAAATTCTGCTTCACAGTACTGCCTTAGAGAAATAATCAGTTCATGGGTCTGTTAGACATTGGGACAGTATGATATTGAAAACATATGCAGGCTGGGTGCAGTGGCTCATGCCTGCAATCTCAGCACTTTGGGAGGCTGAGGCATGCAGATCACTTGAAATCAGGAGTTAAAGACCAGCCAAGGCAACACATGAAACCCCATCTCTACAAAAAAAAGATACAAAAATTAGCCAGGCATGGTGGTGGGCACCTATAGTCCTAGCTACTCAGGAGGCTGACGTGGGAGGATAGCTAGAGCCCAGGAGATGGAGATGGCAATAAGCCAAGATCACACCACTGCACTGCAGTCTGGGCAGCAGGGTGAGACTCCATCTTAAAAAAAAAAAAAAAAGGAAAAGAACGTCCAGCTATCCTTTTTCCTTATTTCCAAGTTTTGGATAACTTTTCTTTCTTTCTTTCTTTCTTTTTTTCAGCAGCACTTTTATTTTTCCTTACTTACTGATGTGTTGTTGGGGCCTAATGTTCTCACAGAACAGTAGGAAACCAAACTTTGTTGTCATCTCTGAAGGAATTGAGAATTGCATACGAAAAAACCTGACATAAATTAAAAGGATGAATACATTTACTGGTGTAAATGCAAACTGCCTCCAACTCAAGGCAAGTGACAGCCATGGTGCTGTGGTAGGAAAACATCAGCTAAGAAAGGAAACTGGGTCCTAGGGCTTGGACTTGCCAACCCTGACAGATCAGCAGGACAGAAACACTGCTTCAGGAGTCCTTGCAGCCTCTAGAGAAATCCCAGCACACTCAGCCCTGACACATGAACTCCCTGCACAGATCAGAGACTGCTGGCCACACAGACCCACCAAGCCATGGACTTGTCTTCCACAAGCACCTTCTTACCTCAGCCACGAAGTGACCAAGCCACATGTACTAAGGGTTGAAATCAAAGATATGTACAGGGTATTAAACAAGTACCAGGGGAACAGTTAACTTGCATATAAGGTCAAAATCATCAATAAGTTCTACAGTCCAGTGTTGGTATCAGATACAAGCTTCAAGGACGAATTTCTTTTTGAAGGTTTATTCAAGTTTCATGAGGCTAGCATGGGGTATATGCATTTGCCAGGGGGAAATTTATTCTTCTGAATTAACCCATGCAGTAAATGCTAGACATCTGCTTGCAGTCAATTTAGAAGCATTTGCAGTGGACGGTGGAGGGGCTCGACTCCTTGTACACCTGCCTGCTAATCCACATCTTCTGGAAGGTAGACAATGAGGCCGGGTTGGAGCCGCCAATCCACACCGTTTACATGTGCTCAGGGAGTGTGATGATCCTGATCTTCATGATGCTGGGCGCCAGGGCAGTGATCTACATCCTGTCCGTGATATCTGGGTACACGCTGGTGCTGCAGGACAGCACCGTCTTGGACTACAGGTATTTGTAAATCCACATCACACTTCACAATAGAGCTGAAGGTGGTTTTGTGGGTTCTGCACAGTTTGGTGGCCAGGAAAGAAGGCTGGAACATTGCCTCTGGACACCAGACCCACTCATTGCTGATGATGATGACCTGCTGTCGGGCGGCACATAGCTCTTCTCTGGGGACAAAGAGGATGCGGTGGTGGCCACCTCCTGCACAAAGTCCAGGGTAATATAGCACAGCTTCTCCTTGATGTCGCCCACAATCTCCCACTCAGCTGTGGGGGTGAAGCTGTAGCCATACTCGGTGAGGATCTTCATGAGGTAGTTGGTCAGGGCAGATGGGCACCGTGTGGGCGACCCTGTCTCCAGAGTCCGTGACAACACCACTGGTGCAATCAGAGGACTAGAGGGACAGCAAGGTGTGGATGGCCACACACATGGCTGGGGTGTTGAAGTTCTCAAACATGATATAAGTCATCTTTTCTCTGCTGGTCTTGGGGTTCAGGGGGGCTTCAGTCAGCAGCACCGGATGCTCCTCGGAGCCACACACAGCTCGTTGTAGAAGGTGTGGTGCCAGATCTTCTCCATGTTGTCACAGTCGATGACCATGCCCTGCTCAATGGAATACTTCAGGGTCAGGATGCTGCACTTGCTCTGGGCCTCATCACCCATGTAGGAGTCATTCTGACCCATCCATGCTCACCATCGTGACCTGGTGCCTGGGGCGCCCAACGATGGAAGGGAACATCGTCCCCAGCAAAGCCAGCTTTGCACCTGCCAGAGCCATTGTCAATGATGAGCGCAGTGATCTCTTCTTCCATTGCTATCATGCAGAAGTGGGCAACTGAGCAGCAGAAGGACATGGTGCGCAGGCTGGTGGCAGTGAGTGAGCGATAATTTTTCTTAATAGTACACTTCTATAGGGCCTTGGTTTAAAGGCAGCATAGGGCTGCAAGGCTAGACAGACTGTAAACACCATGACATCACGGACTGGGACTTAGTTCTCTCATTATCCCTTAGTTCTCTCATTATCCCTAGCTCCTGGTGCAGGGACCGATACCTGGCAAGCACTCAATAATAAATAATCTGGCCAGGCATGGTGGCTCATGCCTGTAATCCCAGTACTTTGGGAGGTTGAGGCAGGCAGATCACCTGAGGTCAGGAATTTAAGACCAGCCTGACCAACGTGGAAAAACCCCGTCTCTACTAAAAAATACAAAATTAACCGGGTGTGTGGCACATGCCTGTAATCCCAGCTACTCGGTAGGCTAAGGCAGGAGAATCACTTGAACCCGGGAAGTGGAGGTTGCAGTGAGCCAAGATCATGCTATTGCATTCCAGCCTATGCAACAAGAGCAAAACTCCATCTCTAATAATAATAATAAACCTCTGCTAAGTGAATGAATGGTGTGAAATTCAGCGGGTAGCAGGTCCCTTTGCAGTGACTTCCTTGGGTTGGCTATCACCAGTTATGCAATTGTCACACCTAACTCAGCAAGTTCTGAGGTCCAAGTGGGGGATCACCAGCAACAGTGCCTATCCCAGGCTCTGACACCTGCTCAGGAGGCACTCAACAGGCAATTTTCCTTCCAGAAATAATTTCCTTTCTTTCTTGAAATCATCAAAATGGTTCCCAGCTCTCTAACATTCCAAAAACCCTTACCAAGTCTATGTAAATAAAGAAAACCTCCCTTGTTCATACAGCCTGTTAGTGGCAGAACTGGAACTAGAGGCCCGGTGTCTAATCATCTTGCAGAAGACTTTACATTTTTGCAGTGACATTCCTTGTTGGTGAGTCACTGTATGTAGGGCCAGCTGAGACAGAGGACAGTAACCGTGAGGAGGGAGTGGACATGCCAGAGACATTAATTCAGCTAAGTGCGAGGCACCGCTAATTCAGAGGTGGGTGTGGCCAGTTCACATGCATACTTTTTATTTTTGTTTTTGAAATAGGGTCTCACTCCATTACCCAGGCTGGAGTGCAGTGGTATAATCACAGCTCTCTGCAGCCTTAAACTCCTGGGCTCAAGCAAGCCTCACATTTCAGTCTCCAGAGTAGCTGGGACCACAGGCAAGTGCCACAATGCCTGGCTAATTTTTTGTATTCTTTGTAAAGACAGGGTTTTGCCGGGCGCGGTGGCTCAAGCCTGTAATCCCAGCACTTTGGGAGGCAGAGGCGGGTGGATCACGAGGTCAAGAGATCGAGACCATCCTGGTCAACATGGTGAAACCCCGTCTCTACTAAAAATACAAAACATTAGCTGGGCATGGTAGCACGTGCCTGTAATCCCAGCTACTCAGGAGGCTGAGGCAGGAGAATTGCCTGAACCCAGGAGGCGGAGGTTGCGGTGAGCCGAGATCACGCCATTGCACTCCAGCCTGGGTAACAAGAGCGAAACTCCGTCTCAAAAAGAAAAAAAAAAAAAGACAGGGTTTTGCCGAAATGTCCAGGCTGGTCTTGAACTCCCAGGCTCAAGAGATCTGCCACCTCTGCTTCCCAAAGTCCTGGAATTAGAGGTGTGAGCCACCGTGCCTGGCCTCACATGTATACCTCTGATGACAACTCACGGACAATTACTTTTTTTTTCTTTTGTTCTTTTTACTTTTTTTTTTTTTTTTTTTTTAACGGACAGGTTCTCACTCTATCACCCAGGCTGGAGTGCAGTGGCATGATCATAGGTCACTGCAGCCTCCAGCTTCTGGACTCAAGTGATCCTTCTGCCTCAGCCTGCTGAGTAGCTGGGACTACAGGTGTGTACCACCACACCTAGTTTCATGAACAACTCTGAGAGGTACAGGGCACATAAAGTACCTGGCTGGCCCAAGGATGCAGCATCTGCTGGGCAGTGGGAGAGAGAGGACAGTAGGCCAGGCCCCAGGGGTGGGCCACCTTTTGGGTTTATATTTCTCATTCTTCCCGCAATGAGTCCTAAAAGCTCACAGGAACTGTAAGTGCATCGGAGACTGTGTACCAGGAGAATGGTGATGATTAAGGCCAGTATGTGCTGTGGAAGTTTGCCCAGCTCTGCAGCCCTCCAGGCCTAAGGAAAGCAAAGCCCCACGGAGTTTCTGGGAAGACTGAGGAGGCTCCAGGGCTGGAGATGTGGTGTCAGAGGCACATGGCAGAGTGCTGTGACCACATCACGTATGTTATGTAAAAGCCTGAACCCGACTGTATAAGAGCATGTGACTGCTAAATGTTCTAGAAAATATTGATCTGAGTGTGCTGTAGGAAGATTACATCACAAAAATTAGAAGGGGAAAAAACAGAAGTCTGGTGGGGCGGCTTTTTTTTTCCAGACAGCGTCTCACTTTATCGCCCAGGCTGGGGTGTAGTGGTGCAATCATAGCTCACTGCAGTCTTGAACTCCTGGGACCAAGCGATCTTCCCACCTTAGTCTCCTAAGTAGCTGGGAATACAGGCAAACACCACTGTGCTTGGCTAATTTTTCTTTTTTTTTTTTTTTTAATTGTGATCTCTATTTTATATACATATGTGCTTGGCTAATTTCTAAATGTTTTGTAGAGATAGGGTCTCTTGATGTTGTCCAGGCTGGTCTCGGACTCCTATAGTCAGGTGATCCTCCCATCTTGGCCTCCCAAAATTCTGGGAATACAGGTGAGCCATGGCACCCAGCTTAACTCCTAATTTTTAAAAAAATTTGTCAGACCAATAATTGATGACAAGCTTATTTCCAACTTGTCTCAAGGGAAAAGGCCTCTAAGCAGTCTAATTCAAAAATTCCCTCTTGACAAAGATAATTTGCCGGAAAAAGGGATGGTTAGATAATCATTGCTTCACTGGATTTTAAAAAATGACTGGTGAAGGAAGATTAGACTGGTTAAAGATCACTGGGCTCCTTCCAAGACTGACAGTCGGTGACGGAGGCTCCCAGAAGGGCTCTTAAGCTCATTAAATAAAGCTAATCATTCATTTTAGCAGCAATGGTAATTTATCACCGGAAAGAGTAACTAATGATAACAGACCACAACATTCTGCTCTAGCTATGGCATTTATATTTACATTTATTTTTTGAAGACTTTATTTTTTTGAGACAAGGTCTCACCCTGTCACTCAGGCTGGAGTGCAGTGGCATGATCTCACCTCACTGCAGCCTCCACCTCCCACACTCAAGCGATCCTCCCACCTCAGCCTCCCAACTGGGACTACAGGCACGCACCACCACACCCTGCTAATTTTTAAATAATTATTATTTTTTAAGAGGGGGTTTCACCATGTTGGTCAGGCTGGTCTTGAACTCCCGACCTCAGGTGATCCGCCCACCTTGGCCTCCAAAGTGCTTGGATTACAGGCGTGAGCCACCACGTCCCGTCTAATTTTTAATTTTTTGTAGAGATGGGGTCTCACTATGCTGCCCACGCTGGTCTCGAAATCCTGAGCTCAAGCAATCCAGCTGCCATGGTCTCCCAAACTGCTGGAATTACAGGCTTGAGCCACTGAGCCTGGCTTTATTTTTTAAAGCAGTTTCAGGTTCATGGCAAATTTGAGAGGGAAGTACAGAGATTTCCCTCATACTCCCAGCCCCACATATGCACAGCCTCTCCCATGATGACATCTTCCACCACAGTGATGCATTTGTTACAACTGATGAACCTACATTGACACGCCGTTATCACCCCAAATCCATAGTTTACGTTAGGGTTCACTCTTGGCGTTACCCATTCTGTGCATTTGGAAAAATGTATAATGACATGTATCCACCATTATTACATCATACAGAGTATTTTCACTGCCCTAAAAGTCCTCTGTGCTCATCTAGTTAAGGCGTTTTTTGTTCGTTTGTTTCAGACAGAGTCTCGTTCTGTAGCCCAGGCTGGAGTGTAATCCCTGTAATCTCCACCCCCTGGGTTCAAGCAATTCTTCTGCCTCAGCCTCCCAAGTAGCTGGGACTACAGGAATGTACCACCATGACTGGCTAATGTTTGTCTTCTTAGTAGAGACAGGGTTTCACCATGTTGGCCAGGCTGGTCTGGACCCCTAACCTGAGGTGATCTGCCCGCCTTGGCCTCCCAAAGTGATGGGATTACAAGCATGAGCCACCACACCTGGCCTGGGTTCTGAACCACTTTTTTCTTGCTCATATCCACAGTGAGAGAAACAGGAGGAATCTGTTTCTATCTTATCTAAATTCTCATCGTCTTATTCCATCTAGATTGCATGCCCTGCTCTTTCCTGACTATGTGGTCTCTCCATTCATTCAAGAAATTGCATGTCTATCTTGTGCCAGGCTCTAGGCTAGTGCTGGGGACACAGTGATGTGTGAAAATGGGTACTGTCTTGTCTTTACAGGTGCTAGTGTTCAGTTGGGGAGAAAGGCAATTGAATAACTGTTCACAAAGAAATTGAAAATTACAAGTGTAATTTTGATCTGTGCTTTGAAGCAAAGAAACAAGTACATGCTGTCTCAGGGGAGACCTGTCCTTGACTATGAAGTCCCTGTCCCTGCCTATGAAGACTGCTCACTAATTCATAGGGTAAGGGCTGGGGTTTGTGCAAAGCCCTGAGACCCCATAGATATTGGCTAAAAGAGCAGAATGAAAAGGTGAGGCTGCAGGCTGGGGTGAAACCCTGCAGCCATGCTAAGATTTTGATCTTTATCCTAAGAGAAAGGGAAGCCACTGAAAAGTTTTTGTTTTTGTTTTGTTGAGACACAGTCTTACTCTGTCACCCAGGCTGGAGTGCAGCGGCATGATCTCAGCTCATTGCAACCTCAGCCTCCTGGGTTCAAGTGATTCTCCTGCCTCAGCCACCCAAGTAGATGGGATTACAGGCCCGTGGCACCACCCAGCTAAGTTTTGT